ATCGCCAATCAACTTGTCATGGCCTTGTGTGTGCACGCATATTTTGTTGACTTTGATAATTGAAAAATGTAGCTTCATTTGTAAAGATTTATTTTACAATAGATAATTGATTGATACAAATGTGTAATGTTGTTGATGACTTATTTAACACTCTAATTAATAATAACATATGATAGATATTTACTTATTGCCAACATAGAACGAATAATTATTAAACATTTGGTTGATATACTATAGACGGGTTTTAGGGAGATCATTGATAGAGAAATCACCAATATCCCTCCACAACCTGATATGTATGACTCCTTCGTCAAGCTTGTCCAGCAGGTTTAGAGAAAAATGATACGTAGAGGCTGTTGAACCCATTACATCGCAGGACTCGCTGAAGAGGCAAAGCCACTGCTAGAACATTACCAAGGTCTCTTTGACAATGATCCCTTTGCTGAGGACACACTTCTAGCAGGTGAAGAGCTAATGTCAGTCATTGCCGAAAATCACAAAACTAAGTGGTGTGATCTTGTGGAGAGTTTAGATATGCAGGTGAACAGCAGACGGGCCTGGAAGTTCCTCAAGAACATAAATGGAGATATGACCAAACCAAAAGACAACTTTACAACAGTTACTGCCGATCAAGTTGCTACCAACCTTCTTTTAAATGGCAAAACCTATAGAAGGAAATACCGGGAGCCTGCTGTGCGTAATGTGGCAAGAGAGAATCGCTTCCTGGAAGAACCATTCACCATGTCCGAGCTAACTGCAGTCATTACCAGCTTAAAGACTAATAGAGCTCCAGGTATTGACGAGATCAGAGTCGGACAACTAAAGAACCTAGGTAAAAATGCCATACGATGGTTGTTGAGCCTCATGAACATGTGCGTAAGCCAAATGCATATACCAAGAGCATGGCGAAAAGCCCTTGTGGCTGCACTGCTCAAACCTGGGAAAGATCCAAACGATCCTAAGAACTTTCGACCTGTTTCTCTCTTATGCCACACATATAAAATCTTAGAACGTCTGATACTCAATCGATTCGGCGATTTTCTGGAACAAAAGATCTTTCCATAACAGGCAGGCTTTCGATCAGGTAAGTCTTGTCGTGGCCAAATTTTAAACCTGACCCAACACATTAAGGATGGGTTTGAGAGAAAGCATCAAAGGAAGACTATTGGGAAAAGTGTACAGCATTACCAAAGACTATCAGCTGACTTCCATGATGCCTATCATCGAAGTCAGCTGATAGTCTTTGGTAATGCTTTCTTCAAAACAGGCGGGTTTTCGTGTCCCTTCAAGGCAAGAAAAGTAGATGGAGGAATCAATGAAATGGATTGTCTCAGGATAGTGTCTTAGCCCTAGCTCTTTATAACATATATACTAACGACCAACCGTTGCCAAACGCTACACGTCAGTATGTATAAGCCGATGATACGGCGGTGGCGGCACAAGGTAGGAGTTTTGAAGAGGTGGAACAGAAGCTGACTACGACTCTAAATGAACTTTCCTAGTACTATGACGCAAATCACCTCAAGCCGATCCCTGCTAAGACCCAAGTTTGCGCCTTTCACCTAAACAATAGAGAATCAGGCCGTGAGTTGAAAGTGACGTGGTGGGGAGACCGTCTTGAGCATTGTCCTACACCCAAATATCTTGGTGTCATACTAGACCGCACACTGACATTTAAAGCGCACTGTATTGTGACAAGGGGTAAGGTCTCAGCGAGGAATAATATCATCAGGAAGCTCACCAGCAGATGCTGGGGTGCTAACCCTAATGTCCTTAGAACCTCAACTGTAGAGCTCAGTGTGTCGCCTGCGGAGTATGCTGCACCAGTATGGAATTCATTGTCATATGCAAAAAAGGTTGACATTGCAGTCAATGACAGGGCTCCGATTGTAAATGGGTGATTGAAACCAATCCCAGTACACAAACTTAATCCTATCATAGGGATTGCTCCTTCATCAATCCGACGTGATGTCACTGCCGACTGATGTCACGGGCACCAACCTGCAGAGCGACGGCTTCGGTCCAGAAAGAGCTTTTTATCACAGACACGAGTCCTGGATGGATCACTCTCAAGCAATCGTGTGGCAAGGTGGGAGGCCACGTTGACTAACCCTCCAATACCAGCCAGGGAGGAAGTGGCTCCTGGTGGAGACCTACATTACACAGTGTGGAAGACCCTAAATCGAATCAGGGTCGAGGTACCAAAATGCACGTCAATATACAGTAGAACCCCTCATATCTGGCCTTGGTTTTACCGGTCCTCTGTTTATCCGGCCCCTTCCAGGAAGCCAATATCAATTTTTTTTTCTCTCAGCTTACAGACGTTTAGATACAAACACTAGTCTTTGTGACTGTTCAAGTCATAAAATAAATTGTTCTCATTATTTATCTGTTTGTTTATACATTTATTTGCTGAGTCACTATACTCAGTTGAGCTAGTAGGCCTAACCTCTTATCTGTTGATTGATTATTTCCAAAGTGGGGTTAGTACAGTACAGTACGAGTACATTAATTTTTGTATTTCACAAAATGGTTAAGAATGTTGAGTAGAAATGCATGTACCATTTAAGTCCTAATGATCTTTAAGTACAATTTATTGTCATTTTTACCTCCATTTAATAGGTTTTGTTACCTGGAATCATAATATTTGTACATTTATTACTTAATGACTTTAACCTACAAATATTTTTTTTCTTTTTACAGACATGTTTATTTTTCTAAAAATGATCCCAGAACAGAATTAAATTATACTTTTGATTGCATATATTGATTACCTATTATTATTAGGTATGAATTGTCATTTTCATAGTAGGTTGGTTTATCCGGCCAAATCGTTATCCGGTCAGGGACTTGGTCCCGTGGTGGCCGGATATGAGGGGTTCTACTGTATACGTAACAGCCAATTTACAGTATTTTTGCTTTTTGGAAATGTCCCATTGCTATGTCATTTGCATTATTTGTTGCCAATGAAGCCGCCAAGACCATATGAACTAGGAGGCCCCTAACAGTTCAAGAATAAAAGTCAACTTCACTTCAAGTATTCCACTACACCTAACATTCTGTAGAGAGATTATATTGACAACTTTATGTTATTGATAAGGCTGAGGCAAGTAACTGACATCCCCCATGTCAAGGAATTCCACCTTCAACAGTAACCCCACAATCAATTTCTAAAAACTATACTAGAGGGTTCATTCATTGGCACAGAAGTACGATATGAACTGACACGACGTGACGAAGGAAAAATCAAACTTACACTGTAACGGATATAACTCCCTTTGAAGTTAGAATATGTCTTCCCAAAAAATATTTTCTTTTCAAATAAAATCATATTACACTGATGAAATCACGGAAGTGTTTAACTACAAAAGATCCACCAATACGATTTTAATACTATTTAAAGGTTCTTCCAAAGGAAGAGATACCATATAACATACTGTACTAATAATAACTCCGATGACGTACAGTATAGAAAATATTTTAATCATTGAATGATCAACCAAATTTGGCAACTAACGCAATTAATACAATTATCGTTTTTACACTTATTACTCTTTAAACAATGCTCAAAATATGTATATATCACCCAATTTATCGCAGTTAGATGAATTAACGTAAGCCTTGAAAGTAACCGTCGATTTCGACGGGTTTCACCTATAGTGTGATTGTTGACGGAAAGCGGCTGGCTGAAGGGTCGACCCTACTCACACACACGCAGGCCTCACACACACAGACGCAAGGGATTAGGACGTACGTGGGACGGACCATTGACCTACCGCGCGAGTCATCGCTGGCTCACGGAAATTAAACTATTAATTTTTTAATTTTACGTTTGTTATAAAATCTGGTAACGCTTTTGACTTCAGCTCAAAATGCTTAGTAAAATGATACCAAACAATATATATTTTGCTTACAAAGTGTAAAAGCTACTTAGCTTTGATTAGCTAGCTACTTGTCATAATCATTTCGTGTTTGGACTCATTTTTCATTGAATTAAACAACAAATGTATTAACACTAACCATTTTACTGTGTATCTCACATCAAATGAATTGCAATTTTGAAGTATCATACAACAGATGTTATATTTCTACTTAGTGAATAGGGGATCGGGGCTTTCAGGCAATTAGGACGGTGGTGAGTGTGCGTGCGTGAGTCGGGTCCCTCGCAGGTAGGGCTGAGCTCCAGCCGCACTCCGGTAAAAATCAAACTATAGTTTGTAATATTGTGTGAATTGTAGTTTTTAATTCATAAACTTATTTGTTGTTTTTTTTTCAAAACATTTAGAAAAATGCATTGTGTTTGTATGCTTCTTTTGCCCAATATTTTGTCTGGGAAACGGAGTAGCCTGTTAATACTTTTAGTGGATTACTGATCAAGTCAATGACTTGGATTGAAGGAACGTTATGGATGTGAAAGTTTGGAGCATGTCAATAACGTAAAAACTACTTGACCAATATAGAGCCAATATACCACAGGCGAAATAGACATAACTTAGTCATGTTTTTGGACATTTACTTATGAGATAATAACTTTTTTTAGATCAGTTCTATAGAACATAATTATTTTTTTTAGTGTTCTCTTCCCGTTGTGAAGCACGGATATGGCGACTACGTAGCTGAGTGGGAACACTGTACCCACCTTTACACCACTGGACAAACCTTACATACGATTTTACATGGGGTTACATGTGTCAGACTCTTTCTGTCCAAAGAAAGCTTAAGAAACACGTTCTGGCAAAAATCTTATAAAGGGATCTGGGATATTTGTAAATGGGGTTTAAAAATGTCGTCGCAGCCTTAGGGAGTTGGCTCAACTTGCCAGAGTAAATAATCGTGTTCTGGGATCTGCCCAGACAAAATGTTAAGTATTTTTGTTTTTCTAATGCTGTTTCCAGTTTGGAAATGAAATAATAATGCTTGGTTATTTAAGTGCAATCTTAGGTTTTGATCAGAACATTTCTTGCAGTTTGTGTCTTATGTTAACACCTGATTGTTTTCAGGTATGTACCTGAAGCCTACCGGGGAGCAAGTACCACTGTCTGTGGTACAGGAGGTGGCAGGTGTTGTAGGAAACATCCTAGAGGACTGTTGTCAGTTTGTAGATGAACCGGATGTCCCGGAATCCCTGGGACACTTTCTCACAACCAAGTTTAATGAACATCTTGAGTCATGTAATGATCCTCCTGAGATTCGAAAAGATAAACTTGACATTTTTGACTGGCATATAAGGTTAGTACATTTTTCTATGTGTTATTATTTATGACATACAGTAGACTCCCTCTTATCCGGACCCCTCCCTCGGGACCAAGGCCAGTCCGGATTGCGGGTTTTCCGGTTAAACTAACGTCCCCAAAAACTCGTTAAAACGGACCGTTTAAATGTCTACTGTATACAGTATTTGACTTAAAAATTGTCCGGTTAAAGAGATGTCATTTCCGCCAAGTGTAGTCCGGTTAAACCGATGTCCAGTTAAAAGGTGTCCGGATGAGATGTCTACTGTACCTACATTACAAGATGACAATCTTGGGTCAGTTTGAAAATAGACAACATGGCAATGTGTAATAAAATAAAATGTAATAATGTGTAATTATCTGTTCAGTAAAAGTTGTACATGGCACTTTGGCACCAGCTTTATATTAATAGAATATTGTTAACAAAATTATTTACCTTGGCATTGCTACTATGAAATCTTGCTACATTGATAATTATATTTGCGAGTGTTGAGGCAGACATGGTTAGATCTAGCAAATGGATTGTTACACAATTTTTTGTACTAGCTAATAGTAAACTGTCGATAAATATAAATAATATGCATGATAAAGATAAAATCAACTGTTTTTACTATAACCTGGCATTGCGTTTCAATCATTAAACCCTATCTGACGGCGTCGTCTGCTAGCTGGCTACGTGTGAGATGGCAGAGGTTTTAGCCAACTTCTGTAGTGGCCTCATAAAACTCCCAATAACTATACCTTTATACACGGAATATGCATAAAGGTCAGCATTAAACACATTCTGAAATCACATACTGTACATACATTCTGAATCAGCATTAAACAGGGAACATTTTACTTACCTATGTACTTAACTATGTATTTTTGTAAGGATAGTCCTTTTAGTTATAGGTAACGTAAAAAAATCTACTTTGAAAAATAACAATTTTTATTTATATGATCAAATGTAAATTTATTTTTCCTAATAAGGATATATTGGAAAATTTCAGCAATATTGTTTTGAACATGGAAATATAAATATTTTTGTAGTATTCCCAGTTTTGGCTCAGAATATCCAGACCTCCCGAATGTGAAGTGGTACCATGATTTGCAATCAAGAATCAAGAGTTTTATTGCCATTGACCTTTCTTGTACAAAGGAATAGACAGATTATATTGACAAATTTATGTAATTGATAAGGCTGAGACAACTGACTACCAAATGTCTAGGAATTCCAGCTTTAACAGTAACCCCTATTTTTTTAAACTATGCTATTCATTGGCACAGTAAAACGCTATGATGACCGATGTGACAAAGGACTTGAAAGTAACCGTCGATTTCGACGGGTTTCACCTAGTAGCCTATATTATCCGTACAATGGAGCGTGATGATTTAAAAAATTGTCTAAGGGCTTTTCTCCTAAACTACTTACCAGCACAGTCTTACAATGTTGGTGTTACAGCGTGTCGCCATTCGACAAATGTCGCAAAACGGTGTATGTCAAAGCTTATCTTTAAGCATTATTTTAGCCTATATTATCCGTACACAAGAGTGTGATGATTTTGAAAAGTGTCAAGGGTTTTTCTCCTAAACTAGGCTAGGCTACCTACATTTTTGTGTGAATAAGTAATACAATTATAATCCATATTTTCTAGCCCCTGAGCTGGTTCTATAACTAAAATGAAATTTTACCTTTGTCATCCAGCTCCTGATTTATTATCAACTTGTTACGGCCGTTTCAGCATCACTGTGCCATCGTCGGACTGTTCAGCCAAAAGGCGTCGTTAAAACACAAAAACATATACACGAAACACACACATATTTGTATTGTGTAGTTTCAGTTTTACATTTTTGTATTGTATGGCTAATGAGGCCTGACTGGCCGATGAATTATAATCCATATTTTCTAGCCCCTGAGCTGGTTCTATAACTAAAATGAAATTTTACCTTTGTCATCCAGCTCCTGATTTATTATCAACTTGTTACGGCCGTTTCAGCATCACTGTGCCATCGTCATTAGCCATACAATACAAAAATGTAAAACTGAAACTACACAATACAAATATGTGTGTGTTTCGTGTATATGTTTTTGTGTTTTAACGACGCCTTTTGGCTGAACAGTCCGACGATGGCACAGTGATGCTGAAACGGCCGTAACAAGTTGATAATAAATCAGGAGCTGGATGACAAAGGTAAAATTTCATTTTAGTTAAGTAATACAACTAAACCAAGTCAAAACAAAAACAAAATATACAGGTAATAGTTTTAAATGTAAACCCCAATCAAGGGCCGCAAAAGACTCTTCAAGATTAAAACTACTCATTATCCAACCCTAAAGTATCTTTTGTATAAATAAAGTAAATACTTAACTCTTGATTTGATTTCAATCAATATTTTCATTAAATATGCCATGCACCATAACAGTGTTGTTATTAGGAAAATTTGTTTTATGAAAGCGTGTAACATAAGGTATTTTAAATTAACCCTTTGAGTGCCAACGTCTGGGGAACCGGACGTTTTTAAAACGAGCCAAAAGTGCCGACGTCCGGCCGACCGGACGTTTTTAGAACGAGCCAAAAGTGCCAACGTCCGGCTTACCGGACGTTTCGTAATGATCGAACAGTTGTCATAACAACCGAATGGATACTCGGATTCTTTTAACCCATATATTAACATTGAGTCGAAAGTTACTAGATGCGATACATCGATTTTCGTTGGTCGAAATATCGAAAATTCGATTTTTACAAAATTTTAACCTAAAAATCGCCAGATCGCGCTCGGCATTTTTAGCGCGACCTTCGGGAAAAATCATCGGCAATTTTGAGCGTTACTTTTATTTCTCGTCTGGCACTCTAAGGGTTAAAGCTTAAATTATTATTTATTTTTTTAGGCTTATACATTGACTATTTAATAGAGAGTAGTTTTTTTACATATTATCATTGGGTTTGAATTTCGCAGATTTTAACTGCGGTTCACACAGAAACCTTATTTTTTTACCATACTAAGCCTATTCATGGCTTTATCAAGCTTATGTACAATGATATATGCTTTAGATACACCATAAGCTAAGTGTGGTAAATTCATTTGATAGGTTAGTTGGTTAAAGGTTGGATCAGCATGCGTCCGTAGCAAGTCGCCTGTCGACAAATGTTGCAAACCAACAAATGCCAATGCCTACACTTGCTTTAGAGGCTAATCCATCAATATACTTCAGCATTGTACATACGTAGGCCTACATTAGATGATGATTTATAAAATTTCAAGAGATTAATTTTGGTCTTAAAATAGCCAACACCTAACTTAACCAACATTTGCTTTTAAATGTTGTTTATAGAAAAAGTTTAATATTAACAAACCTAATAAAAATTTGATTATAATGTGTCTCCTTACTGAGTTTTTCTTGCTAAATCAAAAATGTAATCGTTTTCAGTCGGAAAGAGTCCTGAGTTTTCGAAATATTTTAACTTTTTACATTTTAAAAATTAAGGGTAAATTAAAGGTTCCGGTTGTAGTTTCGGAGCGAGCCCAAGTTCTTACAGTGACTAATACTTCAAAGGAAGGAAGGTGAGAAGGTTTTCTTACTGCTGATAGCCTTTTTCGAAGTCAGTGTGAAAAATACTGGGTATTTTCTATAGTTTGGGCCGTTTAGGGGAAACCAAACAAATTGTTAAAAACTCTTCATTCTCTCCATTTCAGTAAACTATGATATTATTATTTTAATAGAAGTTAAATAGATGTCAAGAAAAGATAGACCACAAAATAATATTTTTGGGATAGATTTTCATTGACCAAAGAATACTCTCAGAGTATAGGGATGAAGTTCCCAGAGCAAAACTCTGTCACCAGGTACTTATTTATTAAGTGAGTAGTATAGTTAAAATGGTGCAGTGAAAACCATGTGATTTGTCCACAGAAATATGAAGGTAAAGTTTAAGTCAATGGTTTAACTTTGAATATTTGTTTTAATCTATAAACATTTTCTAAATTTAATTTTTTATAAAAACTAAATGCTTTACCAAACATTTCTTGACCACGTTATGCACTAAAGAATAACGTTTTCTAATTCTTTCAAATATTAAAGTATACTGGAGCACTGAATACTTGTTCTTGATACTTTTTCATGTTCAATCACTTCCAAAAATGCAACCTTACTCTTTAATATTAATTGTATAGTTACAAAGATACCTACTTAATACTTACTAGAAGCATAAATAATATGATTTTCTACATATACATAAAGATACTTAAAACTGTATCTACATTATTAATACAAACAATCTGTTCTAAATTAATTATTTAAAAAAATTATTTAAGTTATTCTTTTCAATTATTTTAGTAAGGTATCTTTTTTATAGGGTCAGGGAAGGTCAGGGAAAGTTTAAAAAAAGTAATGTTAAGTCTATGAAATTTACCAAAAATTTTAATAGATCACGTTAATTTTTTTTTGATTAGAATTAGTTATGTTGAAATGAATGAGATACTTGCTGCTAGGATTACTATACCCAGTTCTGAAAAATCTACAGTCTCTATTTAATTTTTATTACAAATTTTGGTTTTGTTTAGAGTTGTAAGTATTTAAAATTTGTTGTTTTTTTGGTTTTGTATTTATAAAAAGGAGACGTAGGGTGGCTATGGAGATGGTGGAAGCCGCATTTAATAATAAAAAGCAGTTTTTTTTTACTAATGATAAATACTTATATCTAACTAGTAGAGTACCCGTCCTTCGTAAGGGGTGGTTCTTTTAATTTACGATATGCTATAGTATAACACATCTACCAATGGCTCTACCACTGCACCTAAACAGTAGAAAAAAATAAATTATCAAACATTCGCACAATATTACAAATTATTCATTAAATTAAACACATAGGCCTAAACATAACCCATAGTTATGTTTATAATGCGGGGAGGGAAGGGGTGCCCCCGATACTTCTTTAAATTTATGGGAATTTAAGCGTTTGAATCAAACTTTTAACCCAATTTAAATGGACAATTTTCCTTTAAAACTCTAGTTAAACTATTTGTTAGTTTAGTTTTAATTTAAATGAGTTGGATTTTTAACATGCACACAATGTAGTTTTTTTAAATCCGATTTTCCATGAGTTAATAGGTTTTAAAAGGAAAAAATCACAAAATTTGCAATAACTTTTGAACCATAATTTTTACGGCATAGAGGGTTTATACAATTTTTGTCATAGTCAAAGAGTATAACATGTTAATTTTTAATCAAAATCGCTCGGGCCAATTCTGAGAAAATGTTATTCATCCATTATTTTATAGGGTTTTATGGAATATCACTATTAAAAATCCAAAATGAAAAAAAAAACATCTGGAGAGACCATGGATTGGTACTTAAAATACCAAATTTCATCAAAATCGGACTCGGACCACAGGCGTGGTCTGTAGCTCTGTACCATACATACACACATACAGACAGACACACACATCACTTCGAAAACCACTTTTTTGGGATCAGGGTTTTTACATAAACAATTCTTTTACCATATTAAATTGTAGGGGAGAAAGTACTTGAAGTTATGTCAAAAAGTTTGAGATATTTTCTAAATTGCCCTTTAATCCACTTCTGAGTTTGGTCCTTTTGAAATAAGTGTAAAATATTCAGTCTGAAAAATAATACTAGGGTTTCGTGCCTAGGGCCAAAATGAGGTTTTGCTGGTTCGAGGTAGTTTTTAAGTTCGATACGAGGTCGAGGACTTAAAACGATCGAGAACTGCAAAACCATTTCAGTCCGTGGTACGAACGCTATTATTCACCACCCCACACTATACCCTATTACCACTAATTCACCTCATCACAACTACAACTTTAAGGTCATGTGGATAAATAATTTGTGGAATCAGCAAAAATAATAATAAATAGTTGCTAGGCAGCGGTGACAATAAAACAACTCTATTGCAATGCTATGGATACTGATTGTGTATTTAAAACGGGCAGCTGATTTTGCGGCCCTAGGGATGTAAAAACCTGCTCGATCCCCAAATGACGATGACAGCTGGCATGGCCTGCAAAACGTAACTTTCAGCCACCAATTAATGTACCTATATGTAAAACAGTTAAAAACATCATAGTGTGTTAAAATAGTATATTACGTTACTAGTCCTGAATCCCGTGCGAGACGAAGTCGAGTAGTGGTTTTTTTTATACGAGTCCGGCCAACACATTTTGGACGAGTGATGTATGATAGTTTACGCCATACTACTAAATCCGTTCAAATCCCTATATTACCACAAACTAAAGTACTAAAAATCACTAGTCATAACCTCTAAGAGAGGTTATGTTTTTGTTATAACCACTCATTGCCACCCAAATACAGTATAATCAGCTGATTGGTGTCCGGCAAAACTCATTACAGTACAGTAGTACTGTATGAAACCCCATTTGATTAAGGACAAACAGCTGTTTTCTGGACTAAATCCTTGCATGGGAAGTTCGTCAAAATAGTGTAGTGTGGCGTAAAAAAATAATTACAGTAGGCTATATATCTATTCTAAGACTAGTAAAATATGTTTGAAGCTCTTTCTAGATTCAAGAAAAGACAATAAAAAATTCAATTTAATTAATCCAGAATCTTGTGTTTCAGTTCTTGAAGTTAACATAAACACATAGCCTATCAAAAACCTTAATTAAATTGTCACAGTACTGTATGTCAATTTCTTCCAATGAATAAATGACTCAGGCATAATTATTTGGGAGAGCCAAAATATTATCACAAGCTTTCATGTTGTTGTTCATGTTGTAAAAATAGCAAAATGATTATCATTATCATAATACTGGTGATATCTGCAAACTCAAATTGCAGATACAATTTAATAAGCAACCATAATCCTTTGACAGCAGTTGACATGGAGTTGTTCTCACTGTCAAACATGATACGAGTCAGAAAGTGGAAATCCACATAAAAGTATCTATATATTTTATAGCAATTATAAAATGATTTATTAATCAAGATAAAATGTCAAACGGGATTTTCATTGCATAATTACCCCAGTAATAAATTAAGGAGGTCGTAAAAATTATCTGATTAATCTTTTATGTGCGTTTAACCAACCACTGGCTTGAATCCCCCCCAAAATCATAAAATCCCCCCCAAATAAAATTCTGATGTCGCATTTTGCGACATCAAACCCCCCACCCCTGCCCGCTGCAGCAAACCTGCCGACTAAGCGAATTTCCATTTGCCTGAATTGATTTTCAATTGAATGTATTTAATTAACATTAGGTTTTATGAGTACCTAGGCTTGGTGCTACAGGGAGGGTAAAAAAGTGTGTTTTTAGTAAAATATGAATAACTTTGTATAAAATAAATAAATTTACCAAGTTTGATCAAAATATATCCATAAACAAGCAAACTACAACATTTTACAATATTCTCCATAAGAATAACTTGGGAATTTTAAAATAACATTTTTTTGAATTTTCTCCGTAGCCAATAATTGTACAAAAACACTTTGATATACTAAATTATTTCTTTTTTTAAGCTCTGTAAAAAGGTCCGGAGAGAAATTGAGAAATTTTGTGTTTAGAGGGTAAAAAATTAGAAAAAACCTATTTTTACCCCATTCCCCCGTAAAACCCTGTTCCCATGGTCCGATCATGCTGGTTCGCGAACTCATTCAAGTTTATCCCGCCTTACACCTTCAAACCAAATTTCATCAAAATCAGACAAAAATTACTCAAGTTATCGTGTTCACGGACACATATATATATATGAATCTGAACATATATAAAAATTTTAACGAATGGTGTTTTTGGCCTCTGGGGACATCAAAATGAAAAAGTAAATCGGTCCCGGGCCTAAGTCTTACCATGAGACCTACGGTAATAGCTACTTCCCTATAGGGAAATTCGCTAAAAAGTAATAGTGCTGTACCCTGTTCAGTGGCGGATTTAGTGGGGGAGGGGGTGGGCTAAAGGGGCTGCAGCTCAGGGCAGCGATTTTTTGGATTTTTTTAAGAATGTTTTTTTTAGTTTGAAATTTCAAAAATATATTTAGCTGAAATAAAGTACTAAGAAGTGAGGGTAAACTCTACTAACATCACCGAAAACAGCCATATGGACTCGTTTGAGTCAGCGGACAGCGAAGTGGCGTGATGACTCATTTTCTCGCAAGTTACTGATGTGAGCAATATTAGGTACAGTATCCACTGTTTTGTTGACATGGTGATGATGTTACTGCCACTGCAGTGATTAGGTGTTTTTAAGTGAAGTTTTGAGGTTAGGAGACGACATAAACAACCAGCTGTCATACAACTTTTTAGTTCAGAATTGGGAGATAGGGAATAAGTATATGTAACTTATTTAAAATATTAAAAGTATATTAATAACAAGAGTAGAAAGTGAGCCATTACATATTTGAGATGGTGGAGAATGTGTATCGACCCTCTTTCACTCGTGTTTTGAACGTTACTTTTTGCTACATGCAAAGTATCACTGTAATCTTAAAAATAAAATACTATAGGTTTTTAAATCGTGCAAAGACTAGAGCAATCATTAAAACAGGCACACTGTGTATACAATACATGCAGTGTATAAATAGTTTTATAATAAATTAGTGAAAACATTTGTAACGAAAACCATGTACTTTATATGTGTATAAATGTATAAAAACACTGTATATAATTATGTGAATGTGAACAAAATTTTTTTTTATTTTTTACATATACTCTTAACAAGATTTCTGAATTATACTTAGGTCACAGAGTTTTGTTGATTTGAAAGTATATATGTTGTATATTTACTTAAACAACCGAACTAAACGACAAAAAATTTTCAGATTCAAGTGTATTTATTACTTGTTTTACATTGTAGTTTACAAGTATCTGTCTTGTAGTTATATTAGAATAGAAATTTAGTTGTTTCTCAACTAACTGTATCTGAAAAAAACTAACTGTAAACACTGATGTAATGATAATGATTACTATTATTATTAGCGGTATGATTATTATCGTTTCATCAATACATAGTATTTTATGATAGGTTTCAGGTGATAGATAATTCCTGTAATCATCTCAACACACTGTCAGCCAAAGCCTGGGGGTTATATGAGTTTTGTGGAGGAGCAGATTACAATAATTTGAAACAAGGTTATTCATCTGTAGTGCAGCATTTGGTTGATAATCTACCTTCTCACTCAATAAAAACCAACTGTGTTGTTAAACTTGTTAAATACTCCTCGGATGTGCCATATGCTACGGTGAGTATTTAAAAAAAGAAAATTGAGTACGGTAGATAAATATATTTGTGACCCTTGTTATATTAAATTGTATGTACCTAAACAGTTATCATTATATTTCATTACATTTCAAGCAAATATCATACCACATGTTGTAATAATATAATACCCCCGCCGCAGCAACCCTGCAGACTTAGCGAATTTCCATTTGCTTGATTGGATTTACACTAAAATGTCTCCTTAAAAATATCACATTTATTCCGTATTTAAATAGAATTAGTTTGAGTACTTAGGTTTGCTGCAACAGGGAGGGTAAAAAGTTTCTTTTTATGTTAATAGGTACTGTAGTTTGGTAAGAAATTAATGTATTTTACAAATTTGATCAAAATATGTTCATAAACAAGCAAACTACAACAGTTGACTTATTCTCCGTAAGAATAACATGGGAATTTTAAAATAAAATTTTTTTTTAATTTTCTCCGTATTCATTAGGCGCATAACAACGCTTCAATATACTAAATTTTTTTTTTTAAGCTCTACAAAATGGTTTGGAAATAAACTGTGAAATTTTGGATTTTTAGGGGCAAAAATTGGAAAAACCTATTTTTACCCCATAAAACCCCCCATAAACCCCCGTTCCCATAGTCCGATCATGCTGGTCAGCGAACTCATTCAAGTTTATCCCGCTTTACACCATTAAACCAAATTTCATCAAAATCGGACTAAAATTACTCAAGTTATCGCGTTCACGGACATATATATATATATATATATATATATATATATATATATATAAATCTATATATTAATTACGTAAGCCGATTTTTTGCGTCAAAATTGTGGGTGACTGGGAAGTCGTAGAATGACGGGAGAGGGCTCAAATTAAAGGTCTCGATCCAGTGACGGCGGGAAAAATAGTGAAATTCCAAAAATCTTAACACAAAATTAGATATAACGTAAAATGTTCTCCATAAGAATAGCATTAGAAGGCATTTTACTGCTGATTTTTGTTTACTTCAATACAGCTGATCGTGATTTATCATTAAGCAAGTAAGCAATATTACATTTGGATTACTCATTTACCAGTTAATTCTGCAATGTAATGTATACTATATAAAACCAACTATAAAAAGGGATAACGTTACCCATAATAATCAAGACTTTTTAGTTATGTCAAAGTTAAAATAAATTGTTTTCAAGATTAAAGAAACGATTCAAGATTAAATTAAGATCTTCTTTGTTTTGATTTCAAAACATATGTTAAAGATTTATTCCACACTTTTTTGTAAATTTACTAACATTTATATTTGAGATTTATGGTAGTGTTTAATCAATATTTTGTATGAAGTGGAATAACCTCAACGGTTACTCTTACTGTCGGGGGGAAAAGTTTAGACACTCGAGTTTGGAGCTCTACAGAAAAGTGACCAAACTAACTTAGAAAAACACGTAGTATATATAAATTTTTGTTGTTTTATTCTACGTATTCCTGTGAAAACAAAAAATTTTTAGCTCGTTTTTTAGGGAATTTTTTATGACAGTCGGAAGGTAAAAACTCCCTGTTTTTAGAGTATCAAAAACCATCTTATGACTTTGAAAATTTGCACAATGTAAACTAAACGTCAGAACTTTATCAAACTTTTATACAATATAGACACATATATAATGAATTAATTTGTGTAGTTTCAGAATTTTTACTCTACCCAAAAAGTTTTTGTTGTAACTTTTGTAAATTAACTTTTTCTCAAAAACGGCAAACACTAGAAAAAAATGTAAAAGCTTTTTTTGGAGGTGATTGGTTTTGTATTTGAAATATTGATACTGCTCAACCAAATTTTTACGCATATTATTTATATAAGTTAACATTTAATTTGGATAGTGCAGAGGCCGAATACGGCACTTCCAGACCGCCGCCGGCTCTAACTGGGCGCATACCCCGTACAGTGTTGCCAAATTGAACACCTGGACATTGAGCAACTATGGGCTGCGAACTGTTGAGTCAAAACTGAACAGCAGTTATTATTATTTATTAACCATTTTCCATCACCTTTTCTAATAAGGGCTTTGGACCTCCAACGTCACTCCCACACTTCTAAAAAAAGCATATAGCACTGACAATCATTGCATATTCCGAATCTGAAAATTTAGATTTAGCATCTATATTTGGGGTGGTAATACTTTCGACCCTTTGGAAGAATGCAAAACATGATATTTCCTGTGAGTCAGTCAGTGACACACACTGCGTCAATAACCTTACGCTCGGTCAAGGTCCCTCGTGGCAACACTGCACTGGATTCCTGAGCGGGCGATGGCGTTTGCACCCCTTGCAGGCGCGAGATCATCCAGTTTTTTGTTAACTTATGTAAATAACATGCGTAACAATTTGGTTGAGCAGTATCAATATTTCAATACAAAATCAATCACCTTCGAAAGAAGCTTTTAATTTTTTTTCTAGCGTTTGCCGTTTTTGAGAAAAAGTTGATTTACAAAAGTTACAACAAAAACTTTTTGGGTAGAGTAAAAATTCTGAAACTACACAAATTAATTCATTATATATGTGTCTATATTGTATTAAAGTTTGATAAAGTTCTGCCGTTTAGTTTACATTGTGCGAATTTTCATAAGATGGTTAAACCAATTTTCATAAGTCATAAGATGGTTTTTGGTACTCTAAAAACAGGCAGTTTTTACCTTCCGACTGTCATAAAAAAATTCCTAAACAAGCTAAAAACTTTTTGTTTTCACAGGGATACGTAGAATAAAACAACGAAAATTTATATATACTACGTGTTTTTCTAAGTCAGTTGGTTACTTTTCTGTAGAGCTCCAAACTCGAGTGTCTAAACTTTTTTCTCCAACAGTAGAAAAAAATTTGGGAATAAAGATGAAGTAGGTTCGTACAGGTATTTGTTCATTAAGTACTTTGTTGCTCCAAGCAAAAAAGGTTAAAATAATATAGCCTACCATGCACAGTAGTAAAGGGAGCACCTATTATAACAGTAGAACATAGAGGTAATTTCCGTTTCTTAAAACTAACCAAAAATATTTATGTCGTGATTAGTTTCGATAACTGGGTAATGGAACCCTAACCAGTCACCACCAACTATTAACCAGTTAATAGTTAGTAATTAGACGTTGTAAATCAATCGCATCTTTAGGCAGGGCCGTTGCATGGTTTTTTGGCGCCCGGGGCGGGATGTTGCCAGCCCCCCCCCCCCCCCAACACAGAATGAGTGATGATGTCGCTATATTTTTTTTAATCCCCAAAAACAGACACCTAAAGGGATTGAATCACCTAACAAAAATACTAGAGTCAGGAATCTGGGATTGATTATTAGGGATAAATTACTTAAATTTTGAATGAAAATCTGTTTTAATTGATGTTAACCAAATCCCAACTAATGTGAGAAAATGTTAAAATGTATAAAAAGTACTATACTGAATATGTTATTAATTAATACAGAGCAAATTGAAATTAATGCAATGGATGCAAAACCTCAATCCAAACCTACTCTGAATAGAATTTTTATACAGAATAAAAGAAACCCACGTTATCACATTTAGATATGAGATCCTAAACATTAAGTGTAAATAACTCTCATAAAACTAAGCTGGCAGCTCAGCTGAGACTGCCGTAGGAGAAAGGAGTGATCGGGGTAGGGGTGGTTCCCAAGGTCGACCGTCGGCCGGTCGGGCGTATTAAAAATAGAATACGGCAGCTACGTGTACAGAGCAACACCGCGACTTTGCAATATGAAGATAATTAAGACATTGCAATATATTAAGATAATTAAGTTGGGACAGAGCTTTCAACTCCACAGTGGAGTTGATTGTTTAGGCTATTATTACTAAATTTAATTCAATACCATATTGATATTTAATTTGGAAAACATTGCAAATTATAAAGTGATTGGGTGATTGGTATCAAATAATATGTATTTGTTCAATAAAGGCATACAACGTAATATTTAACATTCAGTTACACACACGAATAATAGAACTAGTATTCGTGGTTATCCATAACTTTCCAAAATACGTTATGTGCATCTAACTTTTTTAAATTTGTTGCATTACTTTTGCCGCGGCGCCCCCCTGACCGCGGCGCCCAGGGCGGTCGCCCTGGCCGCCCCACCCACGCGAGGCCCTGCCTTTAGGAGGATTACCACCACATATACTTACACTAGGCTAATAGGGGTTTCTTAATGTTGATCAGAAACAAATTTTGGGTTATGTTCTGTCAATGGGATGCCTTTACTAATTTTGTTAAGACTAATTTTGTTAAACCTTTACAAAATGAGCATAGACTTAGAAATAATAGCTGGGTAGGGTAAGGATGCTAATTTAGCGGTTTTGACCAAGAACTAAGTTTATCTCAACACACCATTTTTTGCCTTTTCTTATTTGACGAAGACAATTTCCAACACTGTATTTCAATCGGGGAAGCCTTTTTATCAGCATTAACCAAATAACCAAAGCTACCTTAATAAACCAATATTTATTCATAAACATGTTTGCTGCCTTTAGCAGTTAAACCTCTGGAATCATTCAAATTCTTTATTGAAAATAACATCTACAAAAGCAACCAAAGACTTTTTTTACACAAAAGATATACAGGGTGAGTTTTAATTGTCCCCACCCGCAACTTCTTTCTACATTTTTTAAAATATCGATCCCAGACCACTTCCAAACATTGTTGGGTAGTAAGTACTTCATTTTGACAAGGTGGTCATTTCCGGCCGCCATCTTGGATCCGCCATATTGGATGTAAAATTATTTTTTTCAAATGTAAAGGTGGGGTTGTGACCCATTATTTCAAATTAGCTTTTTACACTGATTACAATGCCATAAACCGTTTTTTAAAATCTTGATTCATTCAAAAGTTATGAGGGCTTTTTAAAACTTTATTTTCATTTAACATTGTGCATTTACAAACTAAGACCATAATCTCAAAATAGTGCTAGATAAAGATTTGTATACACTACCAGTCATTGTCAACATATTTTCTCTTTGTTATGACTGAT